CGCAGATTATATTTTTCCCATAAGTTCGGGTGAATTCATGTCACCGCTTGTTTGCCTTCTTATGATATGTAAATTTGAAGACGTGGAAACCTTCAAGAGTAATAGAATAGGCGTAATATATATACTTAACTAATGAGTATCTTGTTGCCTACATGTATAAAAAAAGAAGCCAAGTATTGCTTACCTTCTGATATAGAGAATTCATAAGCAAACACTGGTATAACCGAAAGGATTGCACAACTGAGCAATAACCACATGCTTGAATTCCAAACGTAGTACTAGTATCGTGTTATGAAAACTTAAAGTGTTTCAAAACAATCTATGTTTGCTTTGAAAACAACATTAACTAGCGTAATAATACAAATCGAATAACTACTTGACATCGCTGTTACTAAGTTAGAAGTAACTTATAGTCAGACTTTTAGTCGAAATAGATACGAGACTAGATATTACACAAGTAAATTGAAAGGTGTAATATTACTTCTAACTAATATTATAAATGCGAAAGTTCAGATGGATGTATGTTAGAGTTTGTAGCCTAAACTGCTGAACGGATCCTGATGAAATTTGGCATAGATGTAGAAGATAGTCTGGAAGAACTATTAGGCGAGTTTATTTTCTTAAATCCACGCGGACAGGGTCGATAGTAACAGCTAGGGGTATTAATTCACAATGTTGCTCAAAGTAAAATATACAGAAATAAACTTACCAAACATTTAACTTTCTCAACAAATTCGACGAAGCAAAGTTCCGCTCCATTAAACGTACTATATCGTAAGGTAATCAAAAGACGATAAAGTGCTCCGTACACATTTACTTTAAACATTCCCCTACGACTTAACTTTTATCTTAAATCATTAGCTCCATTATCTTCTTCGCTACTTGTACCTTAATTATTTTCGTTTACACATTACGTTATGTGCTCATTGATTTCTTTGATTGTAAACATTTTACTATCTTATCTTCTTAATCCCTATCTTAGTAATATGAATGCGATAGTTTAAATGGAAGGATGATAGAAGGTGTCTTTAGAACAGCTCTATGGATCGACAAATTTGCGGGCAAAAGCTAGTATTGTACAAAAATCTCACTAATGATGGATGTTAGAGTTTGTAGTCTATACGGTTGAACAGATTTTGATGAAATTTGGCACAGGCGAAGAGGATAGCCTGGAAAAACACATAGGCTTTTGGTTTTTTTAATTCCACGTGAACGGAGTAGCGGCCTATAATAATAACTTTATTCTCTTCTTAACTTCTATTCTTAGTCTTCTTAACCCCTTTTTTGAGACATGAACGTAATTATATTGTATTAAATTAAATAGTACGTTATCAATTGATTAAAATAACATCAATTGGAAAAAATGTCAAACATGTTTATTTTAAATCTTGTGAACAATAATTATTAAATTAGAGATATAAGGAAAACGTTTAGTAAAGTATTAGGGATGAATACTGTACAGTTTTGACCTTTCCGCGGATGAAATTGCTGTTATACTCGTACATTCGAGCTTATCTGGAAATTTATTTACATCTGAGAATGTCGCAATGGCGTTCCTTACGCCCGGAACGACAGAAAGTCACGCATCAACACGCATTCTGGAACAATGTTACTTACGACCATGTATTTGTACTACTAATATTTATATCATATAACACGGCGGTAGAACGATGTTACAAAGGGGTACCTTTAATATTGGTTTTCTAGGTGTCATAGATTGATCGTACGAGTAAGTGAACGATTCCTGCAAATTGCCTTTACTCAAGAAATATGTTTAATCCCTTCAGATTTAATACAAATTAACATTTTCAAGACATTTTTATGTTTTAGTAAGAGATTTTATAAAAAGTGTAACTGCATAAGTCGTGGACAATGATTTGAAAGTCATATAGGCAAATAAGCATATCGAATGTTTTTAAGAGAAAAAGGCAAGCGAGCGGCGAAAAGACCGAAGTTCTCATTTACGCCAGTGGAAATTCGCAAAAACAGAGGAACCGTAGATGCGTTGCCGGTCTTTAGAAAAGAGATATACTCGCTTTTTGACAGATCCTAAGTAGTAATGGTTTAGAATTCGAGGCAAAAATTCCGTAAGAAGCGCATAATTGAGAAATGCCAGCTATGTAGAGGAAGAGGATGGAATGACAGTCCGTCGTGTCGTCTGATTGCGGAACTCGGCGGTAGTAATTATTCCAACAGTCTTTGGAAAACCACTTGGTATATACGATACAAATGCAGAGGAAACTGATGTCCCTTTGTTGTTTCAGAGAATCCAGCTGATCAGTAAGAGCTTAGTCGTCGACTATTCGAGTCAATGGGAAGAAAGTATTATATTGGAGTATTAATGCCTAAAGTTGCTAGCAGTATTGTATCGGGGTCGAACTTACTCCTTACACAGTTGTAGGAGGTGACCCAGCTAAATATTGCACTCTCAGCTTTTTGGTAGCCAAGTTGACCTCGTCTCTAAAAAATTAGCGACTGCTTAATCATTTCCATCGTAGGTTAAGTCACTGAAAGCTTCAGATAGCTGCGTGATACGGAAATTGTGAGAGAGAAAGGCTTACTTCAACAGTTTCACTCATTACGGATATCTGACCATGACTGGTTGACTGTTTGACAAAACGAAACGTTTTTTTACTCACTTCAAGCTGTTACATAACTTTGAATCCATTCAATGTAAGGACTTATCGGTAAAATATGTCCGGTAATAAAAGTCCGACTTTTTCTTGTCGGTCTTAAGCATTTTCTTGTCTGCTCTCCTAATGACGCCACACCGACCACACCTGAAGGATGAATCAATGGTCCTCCGGAGTCACCCGAGCAGGACGCCATTACTCTCCCACATTTCGGTGCCAAGCATAGTACTGGACGCAATCTACTCCGCTTGCATTTATACATCAGTACTTTTACAATTTGTAGCGGTTTTTGTAGATTAAGTGTACTATTGGTTAAAATTTTGCCGTCAGGTAACGTGGTAGTTGTTATTCCATATCCTGCTAGTACCGCTTCATAACCGTATAAAGAGAAGAAATCTACTCCGCTTAGTTTACCGAAGCTTTTGACTTTCATTGGTGTGGTTTTCACGAGACCGATATCATTCTTCATTGTTGTAAAGGGGAGATGTTCGAAGCTGTATCTATACAGGGGATGCATGATTTTCTTTAACACATCGCTGAACGTGTCATTATGGTCCGGCGGATGCTCAACACGTCCATATCTTATGACCATGTTTAAGCGATATTTAATCCCAGCGTAAACGCAGTGCCCCGCTGTCAATGCCCACGTCGAAGATAGAGCGGACGCCGTACATATGTGTACGTGATGAATAGCTCCTGTTCTCTTATCATCAGAGAGAATCGTTCGAACTTCCAAACGCAGTATGAAAGGATAATCACCTTCACGCGAGCTGATGCCGCCGTAAATCCTCAAAGGTAATTTCTTACTTGAACATTCAGTGACTATAATACAAAATAAACAATATCGAGACACGAACATATTGAACTATTTGCTATTTTTCAATCAAAGGCAAACGATATATATTTTAATAAGAAAATTTTATTGCTATAAGGCCTAGTACACAAGGAAACGTAAATCTTTAAAACTAATATTGTATTGCGTCACGAGTATCAGGTAGTGCGCGCTCCGTAATCACAATGTTGAATCATTGATGCGACGCGAGTCGTCTTGTCGGTCAATAAAGACATAGCTAACACGAACTTATAAAATATGAACTGAATATTTGCACTGATATCATGAAAATTTCTCACATCGATTTTGACAGGTAGCAAGCGATTAGTTAAGTCCTATGTGCGAACTTCAATGACGTATTGCGCAAATCGCTGAATGATTAAAATTACCAGATCTCGAATATTTAGCCTTGTGTACCAAGAGCCTAAAAATGTACAACTTTAATGCAATAAATTTTAAATCATTGTCGATTTAATAAAAAAAAGTATTTGATGCTTAGGCAACCTAAGAACATCTAATTCTTGAAGAAAATGAATTCAATAATATTATGTAAGACGGGTCCTTTGTTGTTAGCAGGGACAATAATGTCTACTAGTAGCGATTATACGACGTAAGGATTTTTTTTCACACAAAGCCCGGGACTCGATATTAACACTTTACCTAATCAACGTCAGCATGAACATCATACGTCTCCAGCAAAGGGCTCGAAGCCTTACACTAAATGACTAGACCATAGTCCACCACGTTGACCCAGTGCGTGTTGGTTGACTGCAAATTTGAGCTGGCGATAATGTGATGATTCACATCATCACCAGCTCAATAAATGTCCCCCAAGAAGGTGCTCAAAGCCTACTCTAAGTAAGGGTGACTAGTCCTCAGTCAACCACGCTGGGCCAAAACCAGGCCCTTCAGGACAAGTTAAGTCCTTAACCCCCGAGCCACCGACGACGCTCCACCTAATGGGTAAGGGAAATGCAAGTAAACGAAAGAACAGAAATCCTTAGAATAAGAAAATTTACAAGTTACCAATGTGGCACAATTTTTTTTTTTCAGGTAAAAAATTTTGAAAAACAAAACACAGTTTTTATTTTAATGAAATAACCTAAAGTACACATACTTTAAACATATTTGTTCACCAATTTATACATGGATTTAAAAAGAAAAATCTAACATAATGACTTAGCTTATGAAAATGATTAACTAAGCAGTGAAAAAATTGATCAAAGAACAAAATTGAGCAAGTGGAGACGTTGCTGGATAATCTCACTTTCAATTTCTTCCAAATATTTCGGCGCCTCCTCAAGAACTTCGTTGGTATAGATTACTAGCTGTCCCCATTCGGTTTTATCTGCAGGACTTTATATATCAAATCTCAAATCTAGCTTCTGTACTGCTACCTTGCAAGTTTTATCCATTTACCTCATAACATTTTATTTCTGTTTACATCCTCCACATGTTCAATATAGTGAATTTCTAGCCTCCAGTCGCAAATGTAGGGTCAAATAAAAAGAGGTATTTAAAAAAAAAATTGCTGACATCCTATATAACAAAAAAGTATATTTAGGCTTCATTACATTAGAAAAGAAAACAACCATTGCAGTGTACCATACTCGAATCTTTAAAAAGCTACGCGGTGCCAAAAATTCAGTTCAATAGCCTTACCTCTTCTTAACTTAGTATAAAAGTAAAGGTTATTTTACATCAAACATTCACATGACTTTGAATCCATTCAATGTAAGGACTTATAGGTAAAATGAAACCGGCGACAAGGGTCCGTCTTTTTATGATCGGATTTAAGCATTCTCCTGACGGTTCCCCCATCGATATCACGCCTACCACTCCTGAAGGATGGATCAATGGACCTCCAGAGTCACCTTGACATGCCGTTACTCTTTTCCCACATCTCGGAGCCAGGCAAATAACTGGTCGCAAAATATTCTGCTTGCATTTATACATTAGTACTTTTACAATTTGTAGCGGTTTTTGTAGATTGAGTGTAGTATTGGTTAAAATTTTGCCATCAGGTAATTCAGTAGTTGTTATTCCATATCCTGCCAGTACCGCTTCATAACCGTATAAAGAGAAAAAATCAACTGCGCTTAGTTTACCGAAGCTTTTGACTTTTATTGGTGTGGTTTTCAAAAGACCGATGTCATTCCTTACATTAATTTGTGGACGATCTTCGTTGCTTTGTGTGTACAAGGGATGTATGATTATCATTAAGACATCGCTAAAGGTGTCTTTATGTTCCAGTGAATGTTCAACACGTCCATATCTTATAAAGACATTTAACTGGCGCTTTTTAGCCCCATTCACGCAGTGTGCCGCTGTCAACGTCCATGTCGGTGATATGGCCGATGCGGTGCAGACGTGGCCATGAAGAATAGCTTCCGTACTGTTTTTAGTCACTAGAACTTCTAATCTCACCACGTAAGGATATTCACCTTCAGATGCGCTGCTCCCGCCGTATATTCTTAAAGGATTTTTCTTAGAAGTACATTCAACGACTAGAACACACATTATACAATATCTAGGTACGAACATTATAAACAATTTGATGTTTTTCAATTTAAAACGAACGATGTATACGTACTCGTATTTTATGTGTATAAATAAATTTTGTTTGTGCAATAAATTTTATTTTATGAATCATAGTCGATTTCAATAAAAGAGTACGACATGTTACTGTTACTAAAAGACGTCTATTATTGAAAGTAACCTGTGAATGTGAATTTATCACTTGAGGTGATTCCTTCTTATTGTCATATTGCGTCAGAATAGGTTTTTTTTACTTTTTTTTCCTTTTTTCAATTTTCTGTTTATGCTGCTTGAATGTGTTACATAAATACCTACTTATTTTTATAACCTTAAAAATATAAACCGTTTTTCTCAACCTTATTGATGGCGGAATAGTCAGAAATACTTTAGTTATGTATCTTTAAGCTCTCTATGTGGGTCCTATTCTAGTCCATGAGGCGATTTCATCTTTTAATTGATGTAACATTCACTTGAGTAATTTCTATTTAACAATTTACAATGAAAAAAATTTAAACCAATAATAACATTAAAGAAAAACTGGATTCTATGGCATAATGACAACAAGAAGAAATCATCTCAAGTGATAAATCCACAGGTTACTTTCGAATAATAGACGTCTTTTAGAAACTGTAACATGACGTATTCTTTTATTTGAAATGGACTATGATTTAGAATTTATTTATATAAAATTTATTGCACAAGCAAAATTTATTTTTACACATAAAACGACGTATACATTGTTGGTTTTAAATTGAAAAACATCAAATTATTTATAATGTTCGTACCAAGATATTGTATAATGTGTGTTCTAGTCATTGAATGTACTTCTGAGAAAAATTCTTTGAGAATATACGGCGGGAGCAGCGCACCTGAAGGTGAATATCCTTACGTAGTGAGTTGAGAAGCTCGAGTGACTGACAAGAGAACGGGAACTATTCTTCATGGCCATTTATATACCGCATCCGCCATGTCACCGACGTGGACGTTGACAGCGGCACACTGCATATACCGGGCTAAGAACCGTCGTGGGAATATCTTTATAAGATATGGACGTGTTGAACATTCGTTGCAAAATAAAGACATCTTTAGCGATGTCTTAATGATAATCATACATCCCCTGTTCCCACAAAGCAACGAAGATCGTCTCGTTATTAATGTAAAAAATGACATCGGTCTTTTGAAAACCACACCAATGAAAGTCATTAGTTTTGGTAAATTAAGCGCAGTAGATTTCTTCTCTTTATACGGTTATGAAGCGGTACTAGCAGGATATGGAATAACAACTACCAATTTACCTGATGGCAAAATTTTATCCAATGATACACACAATCTACAAAAGCCGTTACTAATGATAAAAGTACTAATGTATAAATGCAAGCAGAGTATTTTGCGACCTGTTATTTGCTTGGCCCCAAGATGCGAAAAAAGAATAACGGGATGTCAAGGTGACTCTGGAGGTTCATTGATCCATCCTTCAGGAGTGGTAGGCGTGATATCGATGAGGAACCGTCAGGAGAATGCTTAAATCCGATCATAAAAAGACGGACCCTTGTCGCCGGTTTCATTTTACCTACAAGTCCTTACATTGAATGGATTCAGTCATGTGAATGTTTGATCAGAAACAACCTTTACGGTTATACTAAGTTAAGATATGAGGTAAGACTATTGATCTGAACTTTAATTAAACTTTTGGCACCGCGTAGCTTTTTAAGGGTTCGAGTGTGGTACACTCCAATGGTTGTTTTCTTTACTAATACAATGAAACCTAAATTCACTTCTTTGTTACGTAGGATATCAACAATTGCGTTTTTTTTAAATAACTCCTTTTTTTTAAAAAGAAAACGACTACACTACACTTGCGACTATAATGCCATTAAGTAATGTGTTAATGTCGAGACCCGGGCTTTTATCATCTTAGAAATATAAACCGTCTTTTCTCAAACCTATCGCTGGCGAAAGAGTCAGAAATAACTACTGTAGCTATGTATCTTTAAGCTCTCTTTGTGGGGTCCTATTCTTCTCCATGTGGTGTATGTTTTTTTTCCAATTGTTGTAACATTCACTTAAGTAATTTTTAGTTAAGGTTTTACAAAGCTGAAAATAGAAACAAATGAGAATATTTAAAAAACATAATTCTATGGCATTATGACTGAAATAAGAAGAAATTATATGAAGTGATAAATTCATATTCACAGGTTTCGTTTACAAAATAAATGTCTTTTAGTAACATTATTACGACGTACTTTGTTAATGAATTTGACTACCAAGAACTAGCAATTTTCTTCGACTTCTTCTGTTCCCCAGGAACTTAATTTTTTAGGAGATAAACGGTATCCCAAGTGTTACTTTTAGACCTTGTTTTACATCAAACATTCACATGACTTTGGATCCATTCGATGTAAGGACTTATAGGCAAAATTAAACCGGCGACAAGGGTCCGTCTTTTTTTGACCTCATCTAAGCATTCTCCTGACGGTTCCGCCATTGATATCACGCCGACCACTCCTGAAGGATGGATCAATGGACCTCCAGAGTCACCTTGACATGCCGTTATTCTTTTTCCACATCTCTGAGCCAAGCAAATAACTGGTCGCAAAATATTCTGCTTGCATTTATACATCAGTACTTTTACAATTTGTAACGGCTTTTGTAGATTGAGTGTACTAGAAGTTAAAATTTTGCCATTAGGTAATTCAGTAGTTGTTATTCCATATCCTGCTAGTACCGCTTCATAACCGTATAGAGAGAAGAAATCAACTGCGCTTAGTTTACCGTAGCTTTTGACTTTCATTGGTGTGGTTTTCAAAAGACCGATGTCATTTTTTACATTAACTTTGCGACGATCTTCGCTGCTTTGTGTGTACAAGGGATGTATGATTATCATTAAGACATCGCTAAAGGTGTCTTTATGTTCCAATGAATGTTCAACACGTCCATATCTTATAAAGACATTTAACTGGCGCTTTTTAGCCCCATTCACGCAGTGTGCCGCTGTCAACGTCCACGTCGGTGATATGGCCGATGCGGTGCAGACGTGGCCATGAAGAATAGCTCCCGTACTGTTTTTAGTCATTAGAACTTCTAATCTCACTACGTAAGGATATTCACCTTCAGGTGCGCTGCTCCCGCCGTATATTCTTAAAGGATTTTTCTTAGAAGTACATTCAACGACTAGAACACACATTATACAATATCTTGGTACGAACATTATAAACAATTTGATGTTTTTCAATTTAAAACAAACGATGTATACGTATTTTTATGTGTATAAATAAATTTTGTTTGTGCAATAAATTTTATTCACATAAATTCTAAATCATAGTCCATTTCAATAAAAGAGTACGACATGTTACTGTTACTAAAAGACGTC